TATATATATACTACTAGTAGATATAATATAAGTAATACTTATCTAGTATATATTCTATTAGATTCTACTAAACTTAAACAAAACTTTAGACTTATATAGTCTAGTAGTAATTTTCTTTAAAATTATATATTAGTATAATTAGAGAGCGTAAGTTCGATTCTTATTAGTAACTAATATATTTATAGTATATTTTATAAGAATATCTTTATAGTATAGTATAATAATATATATTTATAGTATAGCTTTATAGTATAGTTTAGTAGTAATTAATAGTAACTTTAATAAAATAACTTAATAGTATAGTTTTATAGTATAGTTTAAGTATAGTTTAAGTATAGTTTAAGTATAGTTTTATAGTATAGTTTTATAGCTTTATAGTATAACTTAATACTACTTTTAAGTACTATTATCTTCTTTTAAAGTTAAATAATATACTATTTAATTATAATAAGATTAATAAAAAGTTTCTAATTACTAAAAAAAACTTTACTACATTTATAATTTTAAAGTAATTTATATAGTTATTTTTTTTAATTTTATTTTATAACTTTTTAAAAAACACTTTTAGTAAAAAGTAGTAAAAAGTAGTATAACTTAGTAAAAAGTAGTATAACTTAGTAAAAAGTAGTAAAGTTTAGTAAAAAGTAGTATAACTTAGTAAAAAGTAGTAAAGTTTAGTAAAAAGTAGTATAACTTAGTAAAAAGTAGTAAAGTTTAGTAAAAAGTAGTAAAGTTTAGTAAAAAGTAGTAAAGTTTAGTATAAAGTAGTAAAGTTTAGTATAAAGTAGTATAACTTAGTAAAGTTTAGTATAAAGTAGTATAACTTAGTAAAGTTTAGTATAATATAGTATAACTTAGTATAACTTAGTATAACTTAGTATAATTTAGTTTAAAATTATATAGTATATATACTAGGTTATATTACTTTATACTAGTTTATACTAAACTTTACTAAGTTATACTACTTTATACTATATTATACTAAACTATACTAAGTTATACTACTTTATACTACTTTATACTAAACTTTACTACTTTATACTACTTTATACTACTTTATACTACTTTATACTACTTTATACTACTTTATACTACTTTATACTACTTTATACTACTTTATACTACTTTATACTACTTTATACTACTTTATACTACTTTATACTACTTA